CAAGTGCCCTTCCTGAAGAAAATTCTATGTTCTGAAGAAAATTTTATGTTCCAAAAACAAGTGCCCTTCCTGAAGAAAATTCTATGTTCCAAAAATTCTATGTTCCTGCTCCTCGTCCCAGAACGTTATGTCTACTAACAACGACCCCGGCAAGGAGTTTCGTACACCACTACACGGCAGTATTACTACAAAATAAGATAACCGAATAACCACATCAGGTTGCCTCCCTCGTTAGGAACTCGGGGAAACCCTCAAGCTTAAGAGGTTTTGAAAAGCGAAGATCGATGAAGGGAAACCAACCATGGCAGTACAGACTCAGACGCAAGAATCAAGACGAGGAAAAAACACTGAACGGCATCAAGCACAGTTGGTGTACCCAGAAACTGCTGAAATACAGGTCTCAGTTTGAATCCCGACGAGCTCAGATGAATGGGGGGTAAAAAGGCAGTGCCACATACAAACACGGCAGCACCCTGACCTTGACATGACAAGATGCAAATAGCAAGATTCACAATCCACAAAGGGCAAAATTGAAAATTGGTATGCTTTCTAGAGAACAAGCACAGCAGCAGATGCCTCATGCGATCAGACATCCTATCTATCCTAAGTACAAGGCCTGGCTACATCCTATCTATCCTAGGGCCTGGATACATCCTATCTATCCCAAGTACAAAGCATGGCTAAGTACTATCTATCCCAAGTACAAGGCCTGGCTATATCCTATCTATCCTAAGAGCAAGGCTCGACTATATCCTATCATTTCTATGTATCCTAAGTACAAGGCCTGACTATATCCTATCTATCCTTGAGTACAGGGCTTGGCTATATTTTTATCTATCCTAAGTACAAGGCCTGACTATATCCTATCTATCCTAAGTACAAGGCTTGGCTATGTTTTATCTATCCTGAGTACAAGGGCTGGCTATATCCTATTCATCCTTAAGTACAAGGCCTGGCTATATCCTATCTATCCCAAGTACAAGGCCTGGCTATATCCTATCTATCCAAGCTATCCTAAGTAAAAGGCCGGCTACATCCTATCTCAGAAGATGTTCCAAAAATGTCATACGGAACGGAAGGTATTTGGGAGTATAATTTGGGAGACATGCCACAGTGTCTTTCAAAAGAAGGACAAAAGTCTGATCACATGGAAAAAGCATAATTCAGCAGAGTATGTGTGTGTGTGTGTGTGTGTGTGTGTGTGTGTGTGTGTGTGTGTGTGTGTGTGTGTGTGTGTGTGTGTGTGTGTGTGTGTG